AAAAAAAAAAAAAAAATTAACCTAAAGTATTCAGACATTTTCTTCCTTTTTACTTCCAAACAATACTAATCCCATATTAATCATATATAGGTTCTTCATAACTCCTAAAATAACTCAAAAGAGGCGGTCACTGCAAGCCAGGCCAACCCTAGCTCGGCCTGCATCACTGAAAGAACATCTGTGTTTAACGTAATTATACCACTGGGTTGGATCACCCAACTTGGGACAAACAGTGTATCCCCAAACACATTCTTTCACAAGTGAGTGTTACTCTAACTCTTCTCTCTCACTTCATTATCTTTATTATTCCCATTTTCCCTCTACTCTTCTAAGGAGCTGATAAAAAGCATTTGTGGGAGAGGATACCCAAAGGCTTCTGCTAATGTTCTCATAACAAAAACGGGTCTCTGCCCTTAACCAATTTGGAGCTCCATTACTGCTAAGACAACAGCTCTATGAGATCCTCTTCTATCCCCTAAGGAGAGTAAGTGGAAACACATACTAATTTCTCTGAAGTTACAAGACCCCAAAAAGCATCCCAGACCTCCAAGCACTGATGACTCATTGGTCAAGTTATCAAAAAAAAGGTCACCTCATTCCAAGCCATAGAGCATACTTCTCCAGAGACCACCACTCTTTAGAATCTTGTCTACTGGAGTTTGGTCTCCCAGCACTTCTTGCATACCCTTGTATCACCCTTCTGACTCTTCACTGATTCTTCAGCTGTTAATTTTAAAGTGTATATAATTTACCCATGAGAAGATCTTTAAAAACAGGACACAAAGGCAAACAACAGAAAAATTTCAGTACACACATAGTTTTCAAAAGATTTCCAAATAGAATACATTTCACTAACAGATGGAAGCCTTTATACTTACAGTCGGTACATACTCAGATGGAAATTTGTTTGTTGTGTAGGATATCAGAAGACATGTTTTACCAACGGCACCATCGCCCACAACAACACACTTAATTGTCTGCATTGCTGAAACAGTTTTGTATCCACTTTAAATATTTCAAATTCGATGATGACCTACAAAAAGATGAAGGATATTTGTTTCATTTGTAGTGATATATTTATTTTTTTTTCTTCTACTAGCAAGAGATTCACTCATTCAGAGCAAGAACAGAACTAGCACCGTAACTACTGTGGTTGCAAGAACCTAAAAAGAGAAATAGTGACTAGCTCAAAGTCAAAATAACAAATAAGAGTCAATTTTCTAAGTTTCTGATCCCTGGCTGTTTTCAACGTGTTTTTTTAAAAGTCCAAAGTAGTGTATTTCTATAATGAGAGAGAGGGGGGCACCTGGGTAGTTCAGTCAGTTAAAAATGTGTCTGACTCTTGATTTGGGCTCAGGTCATGATCTCAAAGTTGTGAGATCAAGCCCTGTGTCGGGCTCTGGGCTGGGTGTGCAGCCTGCTTGGGATTCTCTCTCTCCCTCTCTCTCTCTGCCCCTCCCCCACTGCACATGTGCTCTAATAAAAAAAATTAAAAATTAAAAAAGAAAGAGAAGAGGCTATTTCAGAATGAATCCCATGTAGTGTGCCAAGTATGACTGTGTGAAACTTCTCCTTCAGTTGTATGTGCACACATGTGTACACACATGTTGTATGTGTCCTAGACTGCAATACAGAGGTCACTGATTTAAAGAAATGTCCATTTATCCAATCTTAGAGCTATAATTAATCAGGTTGGTTACAGCTACAGAGCACCACCACCAACCCCTTGTAACAAAAGAGCAATATGAGGAATTGGACAAAGATCAGGGTGATCCCTGGTCTCAGCAGCTATTCTGACACCAGGCTGCCTAGTTACTAACTCAATATTCACGGCATGGAGAGGCCAAAACCTACATTTTTATAATAAAGAGTCAGATCACTCTAAAGCACACTGACTTATAAGCAGATATAATTAGTTTCTCTTACTATAGTCCTCCACTCTAAGAAACTATTGACTACAAACGCACCAAAGATTTATTATATTTCATCAGTTCAGAGATGCTTGCTTTCACATTTAAACATCTCTAAAATCAGGACGCCTGAGTGACTCAGTTGGTTAAGCCTCTGCCTTTGGCTCAGGTCATGATTCCAGGATCCTGGGATGGAGCCCCATGTTGGGCTCCCTGCTCTGCGGGAGTCTGCTTCTCCCTCTCCCTCAGCCCATCTTCCCTAACGTGTGCCCCCCCAATAAATAAAATCTTTTATAAATAAACAAACTTCTCTAAAATCAGAACATGTCTTTACCGTAAGATTCTTAAAATCATTAGCAGTCATTTTTTCCCCACCTTTTGACATCTAAGAAATCAGGATAAACGGCATCTTAGAATCAACGAAAACTTTTTTTTAAAAGATTTATTTATCTTAGAGAGTGAGAGTGTGCTCACAGGGGAGAGGCAGAGGAAGAGGGAGAGATTCCTCAAGCAGACTCCCCACTGAGCATGGAGCCCAACACAGGGCTCAATCCCAGGACCCTGAAATCATGACCTGAGCTGAAACCAAGAGCCAGAGCCCAACCAACTGAGCCATCAATGAAAACTTTTTCCAGAAAAGTTTTTCTGGAAGAATAAAAAAGAAACATCATGCCCTGTATACCTACATTTTAAGATAAAGTCCTATTTCAATTAGAATCCTGAAGGGGTTGCAATTTCTTGTTGGCTAGAGCCGCCACCTTATTAAACATAAAAATGTCAGAACCACCTAACTCGGCTGGATGCCATGCCTACTTTGTCCTACAGTACCCATCACAACTCTTAATCATAATGAGTTATAAATGCCTGTTAACATCTCTGTACATATATTAGGAGTGACTTAGGAAATATACACTCTCCCATTCCGCATCAAAATCATCCTGATTGTATTTCTCTTTATTTAACCTCCTTTTATCTTGTTCCTTCCCTTTTCCTTATAATGCACTAAAGAAGCACTCATACTAATACAGCATTAAAGGTTAAAGATCTTAATCCCTAAACTGAATCAAAATTATTTATCAAAATAATTAAGCACACTGAGTACTAATTATAGAGAATTACTCCTAAAGAATGTCTTTTACATAATAATAAAGAAGAGGAAAGAGGAAAAGCTTTCTTCTCAGGGTTCCTGAATCTACCACTGAAAAAAAACATAATGTTCTGGGAAAAAAATAATGTCTTCTGTAGAATTTCTTTTCAATTCACAGTGAAGAAAAGAAAGGTAAGCAGAGGGGCGCCTGGGTGGCTCAGTCGTTAAGCGTCTGCCTTCGGCTCAGGTCATGATCCCAGGGTCCTGGGATCGAGCCCCACATCGAGCCCTGCATCGGGCTCCCTGCTCCTCCCTCTCCCACTCCCCCTGCTTGTGTTCCCTCTCTCGCTGTGTCTCTCTCTGTCAAATAAATAAATAAAAAATCTTTAAAAAAAAAAAAAAAGAAAGGTAAGCAGAAAGTTCTGATCATTCTACAGAATATTTTCCAGGTGCCTACAAATCTATTTCAAGTTCAGTTCTTACACCTTCTATTTCTCCTGATTATTATTACCAGGTGATTTTATGTAGAGTTTAATCATAAATACTGGGCAGAAAGTAATGGTTGACCACTGTGGCAGAGACTGCTACTGGTCTGCCAATTCCTTTCTTCTTTAGTAATAGAATTTTCACTTAAGCACATGGTCCCCAGTAAAGACAGACTGCATTTCCTAAAGTCCTCTGCAGCTGGATTGTGACCACTGTGATTAATGGAGTGGAAATGATGGATGCAACTTTCAGGACTAGCCTTAAAAGCAAGAGGAACAGTCTCCCTGTTCCAACCTGTAGGCTGGAATGCAGACGTGATGATGAGAGCTGAAGCAGTCATACTGAACCACAAGACGCAAATTACATGTTAAGGATGAGTAACACAAGAGGAAGGGCCAGCCCTGGATTGCCTCCAGGACTCTTACACAAGAAAGAAACTTCTCTTTCATTAAAGTCCCTAGTATTTTGGATTTCGCTGTTACAGCAGTAGAACTGATATCCTAATTACTGTATTTCATAGACTCTAGGAAGCCAATGATTTTTAAATACATCCTAAATTTAGAAGTCTTAAATGTAGGAGAAAAGTGTCTTAGAATCATTGAAATTCTAGTAATACCTGGATTTATCAAATAACTTTACAGTAAAGCTGACCACTTTTGAGACTGTCTCAGAAACATCTAAGATAAAGGTTCCTTCTAAATTTTAATTGTGGTTGAAATCAAATTAATTGTCATCCCTAACTATGAAGCTCCTTATCTTCATTCTATATCTGGTACTCACTTTTAAGACTTACAACCCATACAAACAAGCTAATACAAAATCAACAGCCCACTTAAAGCCTGAAACTTCTAGTGGAGGAAGAGCCACTGTTTCTCAAAATTTTCATTAAGATTCCCTAGGGAATAAGAAGAAACTGAGAACAAAAAATTCCCATGATCAGAGCTATGAATATGACTGCCTCATGTGCAAAATAACAACTATGACAAGCTGTGGACAAGGCTGGAGCTAGTCTAAAACATTCCAAAGAAGAGCTTTCATTAATAACTGTATTTAAAAAGAATAATTTAAATCTGATTCACACTAAATTCCTTTTATATATTATAAATATATTTGGAAATTCCACCAAAATTAGCTGTCTTCAGCAGCCGATTCACAAATAGCAGTCTTAGAACCTGGTTCTTTCTGTGGAAACCTTAAATGCAGTACCTCTCTCTGATACCAGCAAGAATAAGGAAATGTTAATGACATCATTCTTGGGGTGCCTGGGTGGCTCAGTCGGTTAAGTGCCCAACTCTTGGGTTTCCGCTCAGGTCATGATCTCATGGATTGTGAAATCGAGCCCTAAGTTGGGATCCTAAGTCTGCTTGAAGATTCTCTCCTTCTGCCTCATCCCCCTGTCTTTCTCTCTCTCTCTCTCAAATAAATAAATCTTTAAAAAAAAGAGAGAGAGAGATCATTCTGGCCACCAGGAAACTTCCAACTGTAAAGTAAAACATATGGATACAACACAATTTGTACTAGAAAAATCTACAATGTAAGTTTAGGAAAAAAGGTAACACTATTTCAAATGGGCTCATAAATCTCTCAGCATTCTTTTTTTTTAAGTAGGCTCCACTCCCAGCATATCCAGGGCTTAAACTCACGACCCTGAGATCAAGACCCAAGCCTAGATCAAGACCCAAGCCTAGATCAAGAGTCAGACACATAACCGACTGAGTCACCCAGGTGTCTCCTCTCTCTGCATTCTTAAGCACAAATTCATTAAAACTAAATGACAAACTTTCTGAGGGCAATCTTTAAGATTTTCCAAAGGAAGGTAATAGATTCGTGTAACAGAGATGTGCTCTGCATATAGTTTGGCTAGATCACAGAACAAACATTACTACTTTGAGAACTTTTAGAAGTCTGTATCTTCTCCTGTCCCAGCAGAAGAAACAGCCCCCAAGCCAACTGGGCCCTTCTTTGTGTGACCTGCCTAAAAAGTTGGAAAGAATATCCAAAATACATAAACTTCATTTATAAGTAATAGTAATTTTCTTAACTTTGAAGTCAGGAAAACTGGGTTTTAATCCTGCTCAGCACTTACTAGTGACCTGGGCAAGGTTCTTAACCTCTTTTTGCCTTAATGTTCTCATTTGTAAAACAGAACTAATTATGTCAACCTTGCACAGTTGTTATAAAGATTAAATAACATAAAAGGACCTCACAGCTCACAGCACATACTCAATATACATAAATTCATCTACCAAGTGCGCTAGTTAAATCAATCCTACTTCACACCTATTTTCATCCAACTGGGTCAAAACTTACACTGGTGGATTATTACCTAATCAAAACTTTTTCACACTCTGCACATAATAGGTATGCCAAAAACTAAGTTAAAATTAACTGAATGTTTGCTATTTAGCTAATGACACACACACAAAAATAAATGAAACAAGAAACCCAAATATTTCTTCACCTGAAGACTTCTGTATTCCTTTTATAGTTCCTGTATCTTATTTCTGTATTTTACAGAGCAGTTCCTAAAAATAAGTAACCTAACAGGTG